GGTGCGTGCCACACATTCTGGTGCATTATGGTTGGGGATCTTGGGGTTCCTGAGCTTGGTGGTTAACCCTTGCTGGGACCAGCACCCGGGGGTTCTCTGACAGTCTACTCCTCAGGTGCAAAGGTGCCACCTCGGCTTGAGGACGATGCAGGTGGAGCTCGGCCGGCAAGGTTTTCAGCTGGGACAGTGGGGCCCGTTGGTCTGCCTGGCGGGCGGTCCAGAATCCAGTTCAGCATATGTATCTCCGGTAGGCCTGCTGAGCGCAGAAAGAGGGGAAAATCATTAGGCCATCTCACCACGTGCCAGTGGTTATCCACTCTGGCCTGTTGGCTAAACGGGAATCCCCACTTGTACGGGATCCGCTTCTCCTGTAGGAGGCTGGTGAGCGGTTTCAAAGCCCTTCATGCATCAAGGGTGAGGGTGGACAAATCCTGATATAATGATATGTGTGAGTCTATATATCTAATAGAGCGCTGTGCTCTGGCAGCTCTCATAATTGTCTCCTTCAGCTGGAATGACTGCAGGCAGCAGACCAGGTCCCTAGGTAGGCCATCTCTCCGTGGGGCCCTAAGTGCCCTATGCGCTCTCTCTAATCCAAAGTCCGGCGGTGCCCTGTCCCCCAGGATTTGGGCAAACAGGCCTTCCAGCAACTCCCGCGGTGTTTCCCCGTCTGATTCTGGCATACCTCTGACGCGTATATTGTTGCGCCGGCCTCGGTTTTCAAGATCTTCCACCTGGCGTCTGAGATCGAGGAGTAAGTTGCCTTGCATAGGCGTGCGCACGGGGTGTGCCGGGTGTGCCTGGGCACACCCTAATCCCCGTGGCACGCCTATGGTTTGAGTCCTGCAGGAACAGCGTTCCTGCAGGCACTCAGTGCCCCCTGTTTCACCTCTTGCCCCTGTCATGGGAGGGCAAGAGGTGATGATTCCACCCACCCTGCAGTTCAGCCGCGGCGAGGGAGCTCTCTGCTGTCTGCTCCCTCTCGCAGTGCGCTGATGCCGGGAGCCGGGATATGACGTCATATTCCGGCTCCCAGCTACAGCAGACAGCCCGCGCGGCGAGAGGGAGCAGACAGCAGAGAACTGGAGCTGAACTGGAGAAAGGCGCCCGCCCCCACTGGACCCCAGAGAAAAGTCCACCAGCACTCCAGGTAGGAGGCTGGGTGGACATTTTTTTTTTTTTTAAATTAAAATATAATAATTTGTGTGTGTGTGTGTCAGTGTGAGTGTGTGAGTGTGTGAGTATGTGTCAGTGTGAGTGTGTGAGTATGTGTCAGTGTGTGTTTCTGTGAGTGTGTGAGTATGTCTCAGTGTGAGTGTGTGAGTATGTGTCAGTGTGTCTGAGTGTGTGAGTATGTGTCAGTGTGTGTGTGTCTGTGAGTGTGTGTGTCAGTGTGTGTCAGTGTGTGAGAGTGTGTGTCTGTGAGTGTGTGTGTGTATATATATATATATATATATATATATATATATATACACATACACACGCGCGGCGTGTGTTTGTGCTTTAGGGTGCACACCCTAATGCAATAGGCTGCGCACGCCTATGTTGCCTTGCCTTGTGGTAGCCAGGTCAGTGGCCTGCTGGTGCTGTGCTGTTTGTAGGCGCTGGACTTCCAGGTCGTCGACCCTGTGTTCCAGCGCTGCAAGGTCCCTCTGCACCGCGGTGATTTCTTCTCGGATAACGGAGCGGAGTTCAGCAATCAGGTCTGTCTTGTCCCCCCGGGTGAGCATGTTTGCCGAGATCGATGCCTGGTCTGCTGACATCTGCGTGAGTGTGTCTCTCCTCGGGGAGTCCTGTGTGGAGCCCATCCGGCTGCTCGATCCCGGGGATGGGGGCGCCATTTTGTCTAGGCCGCATGCGCCAGCCAGGTACTGTGGGGTGGAGAGGTATTCGTCCATTGGTCCAGGTTGCTGGCCCGTGGGTGCCTGCGGTGGACCAGGGGTAGCCCCACGTTTCGTTTAACCCATGAGGATGGTGATTAACGCTGTGTGTAAAAGGTTTTGGCGGGTTGGGGCCTAGGAGCTCTTGTCGCCTGCGTCCTACTCCATCAGCAGCCAAGCCACGCCCCTCATCCAATTAATATTTAATCCAATAATAATTCTCCAAAATCCTTTCTGCAACAGGAATACTGTAAGAAAAGCATAGTAAATCAAAGGCCCTGAGTTATCTGCTCTCTGAGGAGACGCTAAAGGCTGTAAGGGCAATCTCCTTTAAATCCTACTGAAGTCTACATCTAAGAACTAACAGGATCCTAGAAGGAAAAATAACAGTCACAACTGAAAAAGAGAATATAGAAGGACGACATATAGTAAATGAAATCTTTTATGTTTAAAAAAACAAAAACAAAAAACAGTTGGTTGTAGTTGCTGTAGTTGCACCCCAACACAGACAAAGGTATACAGAACATGTTACAATAAATTAAACCAGAAATGTATGTGTAAGGATGCAACTACAACTAAATGTTTTGGTTTTTAAATAAACCACAGAAAAGGTTTAATTTATAATATATGCATCATGTATTATATTTGTAATTCTTCGCCCCCTTTCCATAACTCTAGATAACCAGAAATGCGGGAAATTAAGTAAAGTGAAACATACACCCTACATAGGTGAATCAAAATAGAAACCTGACGCATGTTTTTAAGCCCCACACCCTTTTTTCAAGGTATTTGAGCTAAGGCCAGATTTGACGAAGTGAACATGCATGAGGGCTGACCATTTTGCCTGACATTCTTTGAACCATTAAAATTAAATGCAAATTAACTATTTTATGCAAAAAAAAATTGCAAGCGGCATACTTTTCATTTCATCTCTTTATTCTGTCTCTTTATTCTGACCCTTCATTCTGTCCCTTCTCTCTTTTATTCTGTCTCTCTTCATTCTGTCTCTTCTCTCTTTTATTCTGTCCCTTCTCTCTATATTCTGTCCTGTCTCTCTTTCATTCTGGCCCTTCTCTCTTTTATTCTGTCCCTTCATTCTGTCCCTTTTCTCTTTTATTCTGTCTCTCTTTATTCTGTCCCTTCTCTCTTTTATTCTGCTCCTTCATTCTCTGCCCTTTCTCTCTTTTATTCTGCCCCCTTCATTCTCTGCCCCTTCTCTCTTTTATTCTGCCCCTTCATTCTCTGCCCCTTCTCTCTTTTATTCTGTCCCATCTCTCTTTTATTCTGTCCCTCCTCTCTTTTATTCTGTCCCTTCGTTCTGTCCCTTTTCTCTTTTATTCTGTCCCTTCTCTCTTTTATTCTGCTCCTTCATTCTTTGCCCTTTCTCTCTTTTATTCTGCCCCTTCATTCTTTGCCCTTTCTCTCTTTTATTCTGCCCCTTCATTCTCTGCCCTTTCTCTCTTTTATTCTGCCTCTTCATTCTCTGCCCCTTCTCTCTCTTTTATTCTGCCCCTTCATTCCCTGCCCCTTCTCTCTTTTATTCTGCCCCTTCATTCTCTGTCCCTTCTCTCTTTTATTCTGCCCCTTCATTCTCTGTCCCTTCATTCTCTGTCCCTTCATTCTCTGCCCCTTCATTCTCTGTACCTTCATTCAGTGTCCCTTCATTCTCTGTACCTTCATTCACTGTCCCTATATTCTCTGCCTTCAGGGAGAAGGAACCAAATCCCGCGACGTCGACGTCCAAGAGATCGCGAGAACTCAGACTGAGGACAAACAGTGACTGCATTCTTGCGATCTCTTGACCCCCAGTGAATACCCATGCACCACTCAGGACCGCGGCGCTCAAAGATCCAGGGATCCTGAGCAGCGCTCAGGGATTCACTGGGGGCCACAACAGATAGGATTAAATCTGTGGGGCCGTATTAAACTGGAATGCGGGCCGCAATAGGCCCGTGGGCCGGATTTTGGACATAACTGCTCTAGCATGTTTAGAATCTTCTGACAAATTAGGTATTTTGAGTTTTCTTAGCCAGCCTGCCATGCAAATGAATCCCATGTAGGGTATGCAAGTGTTTGTCAATTACTTGTTAGCAATCAGTCAGTGTTCCTTCATTAATCTGTGTTTATATCCCAAAGGTGGGGATTTATGTATTAATAACTGTGAATTGTCTCTCATCATACCTATTGTCCAGATTTACTATGTAGGTTTTTATCCGGGGTATAATGGGCATTGCAGTAGAGATTCCAAGGAGTAGAATTATCTCCTTATGGTTTTCATATTGATTTGGTAATTTAACCTTATATTCTGTATGTGTCTATACACTAGCATAGATATTATTGTTAGTAACTTACTTTTTAGGACTTTATGATTTATAACAATTTTGTCTTATGAACTCTTATTATATTGTCTCTGTCTGATCTGAGAGGTAGTCCTTTAACTAGGTAGTTAATGCAATGGAACCTTATATGTGTTACTTTGTTTCTTCTATCTCAATTAGTAAGGGATACAAAGATGGTTCACAACTTTCACTATTGGGTAATCCTCATTGTTGCATATGATTTTAATTGACTTTTGAAAAAATTCTAAATATTTTAATTTTATTTGGTTCCTCTTTTTCGCCCATCATTTTAGTGGATTCCCTCCAATGGCCATTGGAGTAACTAAATGACCTCCATTTGTCTAAATATACATGGGGGACTGGGAATCCAGCTAATTTTGGGCAAATACCCACCTTATTTTGCTTGGAATACCCTGGAAGTTCATGGCACCAGGTCCTAGAGTGTCCCAGTGCAGCTGGAGCACCTGATACAGGTGATTCTGGGTCCTGGAGAGATGCTCTGGGGCTTGGGAACTGATGCCTACCCAGGAGGGGAGTGGGGCGGACGGCCGCTGCCCCGCTTTCTGCCACGGCTAATGCAAAACTACACTATAGCTGATGCACTACCGGCCTCGTTCACCCCCCCCTTTGGACCGGCAGGGTTCATCCCAGTCCCCACCAGGCAAGCTAACATCTTTGCATCGCTACTGGGCGACTCAACGCAGAAAGTAAGCGGCTCTCACGCAGCCTCCTTAAAATGGCCTATGGCGGCGTAATAACCCTTCTGGCAGAAAAGGAGAGGATGAACCCCTTATGGCGCGCTGAAGCACAGCCGAGCTGTAAACACATCTGGAATACGACCGCAGACAGGTACTTACACTGCAGCGGCAATCCCCTGAAACAGGCTCAGTGCCTGCTCCACCTGAGCACGCCTTACCAGCGCTTCCCACAACTGAGATCAACACTGGAGGAGTGCCCAGAGAGGCCATCTTCAAACGCCAACTCCACTAAATGCAGCCCGCACCTGGACACTGTGGCACCGAGCTCATACCCACCTAATGACCGGACAGTTCTGCCTATTGCTGATGACAACACAGTATGCTAAAGTCTGCCTGCTGGTACCCTATCTAAATACCTATCTTAGCTAAGCCTGAGACTTATCATTTCACAAAAATGTCAGTATGTAATTCTATATTAGTACCTCATATGCTGTAACGTTTACCTGACACATTAACTCTCAACTAAACTACTATATTGTCAGTTCGCACACACAGTTAATTTTCAGGCTCCACACTGTTGAAATGCTACACATATTCTAACTCTCGCTTAAGTAATCCAACTGCGATCTTGAACCACTAAATGAATAAAATGTGCAAGTTGTAACCATGCCATACTCATGTTAACCTATGTATCTTACGATCGAGCTTGTGAATGCTGTTGTGACAATACAAGCATTGCTGTAACTATCTGCACAACAAAAATAAAAAATTATAAAAATAAATAAATAAATAAAAATAAAGCCTTGTCCCCCTCCTCCCCCCCCAAAAAAATTATATATATATATATATACACTCTCCAACTACGGATTAAGGAGAGAGCGCAGGTACCTTTTTTTTTTTTTTAAATCTTTATTTTTGCGTGAAAGTCTTGTCATAAATACAACATACATTTTTGATGTACAAAGGTTTCCAACAGTGTTCATTTTACATTCTCTTTCTCGTGTTTTCAGTTGAGGTTGTCTTTTATGAGATACAACAAGGACAATTCACTTTTTTTAATGTTTTTGTAACCTGAGTGTCGGGCCAGCAGTATGCGATAAACTAAACCTTCTAAGATAGGGAGCTGACATTATCGTAAGAATGTGATGGTTTTCGGGTGAGGATTGTGTCACCTGTCCTGTGGCTGATGTGTACTGTGGTCATTGCTTCCGCCCAGGAGTGATGGGAGTGAGTGCAGGACTTATCTTTTTGTATTTGTATTCACTTTTTGTATCACACAGCTTTGTTACAATGCAACCGCCCATCCCATTTGTTCCCTATTAAGGGTTAATAAGTATATAGGGGTGTATATAAAAAATACTCCTCTCTCTCTCAGTGGAGATATCTTTGCCAGAAGCTCAAGGAAGCAAGGTGGGGGTCTGCCTTGACGTTGGCAGGCGGGCATTCCCTCCAATGGCCATTGGAGTAACTAAATGACCTCCATTTGTCTAAATATACATAGGGATTAAGGAGAGAGCGCAGGCAACTTTTTTTTCCTTTGATTTTTAACTATATATTGGGGCTGATGTGTACTGTGGTCATTGCTGCCGACAGGAGTGATGGGAGTGAACGCAGGACTTATCTTTTTGTATTTATACAACTGAATGCAGCAACAGAAAAAGAACCAGAAAAAAAAAAAAAAAAAATTAAATTATATCTATCTACATGCAGTCAATATGTGTGTCCACTTGGCTGCTGGAATTCCATTAGCATAGCACCGGCACCATTGGAATAGTATTGGATCCACTGGATCATCTTCTTCTAGCTAGATAAAGTCACGGTTGACCTCTGATATGTTAACACTATATAAACATGTTATATCATATGGGAAGGGAAATGAAAAAAAGTCAAAAACAATATTAGTGGAATAAAAACAGTTGGCAGCAAAAAGAGGTGGACAAAAAATACACAGATAATATACAAAAAAAATGTGTATATGGAGCAGGGACAGTACTGGAAATACTCCATTCCAGGGCAGTCACATTAACAGGTAGATTGTACAAAACCCTGAAAATAATAAAATAATAAAAACAGAGGGGGCACTTATTATGTAAAGGGATTAACAGAAGCAAGAAAAAAACCCTATCGGTATTGAGACCTCTAGGATAAAGAGTATCCAATTCATATAGCCAGTATAGGTCAAGCTGTTCAAGTTTTCTCTTCCTGTCTCCAACCTGTTTAGAGATTTGGACATGTTCTATAGCAATGTACCTTAGTTGTACCACAGTATGTTTGCATGATTCAAAGTGTCTGACAAATGGGAGATTTAGTCTTTTCTTAGCCAGCCTGCCATGCAAATGACCGCAGATAGGTGGTTACAATTCCATATACTACTTTTATGTAGGCCTATGCTTACTGCTAGGGATCGACTTGTCTCTCCATTGTACGTTAACCCACATGGGCATTTAAGTAAGTATACGATTAGTGTGTAGACTTTACTAGTCCTGGGGTGTGAAAAGGAGTCAGATTAGAATTATCTCATAGCAGTTGATATAGAGTCTACATCTATAATTATCTTTAATCCTACTTAGCCAATAATCACTAGGGGTGGATCTTGAGGGATAGCTGCCTTGAGTCTCTCAGATGTCTTGCCCATATGCATGCCATAATTGGAAGATTCTTCAATTCATCTCCTAATTTGGGATCAGAATTTAGCACACGCCATTGTTTCCGGATTATGTGCCTGATACGATTAGATTGCACTGAAAATGTAGTAACATGTAATAATCTGGAATTTTTAGTCCTTATCTTGGGTCTCCTCAGTGTGGCAACATTTAAAGATGTCACTCTCTCTGCATTCAGTTAATACCTGTTCAGAAAACCCTTAATCTAAAGTCTGTAAGCATTTTATTAGCAATTAGCCAAACTTCTTATCCCCAGAGAATGCCAATAGATCATTCATTAAACCTTTTCAGAGAAAGAAAATGTCATCAATGTATTGTACCCAAAAAGTTCTTACATTGATCAGAGGTATTTATATATTTTTTCTCAAAGGAATCTACAAAAAGGTTGGCATATGCCGGAGCCACATTCTAACCAATCACAGTACCCCTCAGTTGTTTGTAAAGTAACTTAACATAGTTACTTAGCCCTCATGCAGAACCACCTTAAGTAAATCCACAACTAATTGGATCGGTGAGAGAGTCAAATTCGACTCTGGCAGACGTTCAACCACAGCCAATATGCTGCCATTATGTAATGGACGTAGAGAAGATGTTGACATCAATAGTGCAAATAAATTGTGTGTCAGAGTATCCAGCCTTATTCAAAAGTCAGTGGTATCCTGTATACATGATTGAGTGTTAAGTACCAGTGGTTGTAAAATGCAGTCTAAGCTTCGAGTCAGTGCCAGCAACAAAAGGATGTCCAGGGGGATTAAACAGGTTTCTGTGGTTTTATTTTGGGAAAGTATAGAAATGTGTAGTCATAGGGGAATAGGGAAATCCTTAATTAAGAATTTATTTGTGTTCTCACTGATATCCAGATCAAATGCACCCTGTACCTATTTACAAATCTTATCTTTAATCTCAGGTAATGGGATATGGGAGACCTGTTGGTAAGTGGTATTATCCCTTAGTTGATTAATAATCTCTTTCACTGTATTTCTTAAAGTTCATAATCACAAAGGCGTCTCTCTTATCTGTCATCTTGATGAATAATGGACCTATAATTATGAAGAGACCCAATGGCTCCCATCTCCTTGTATGTAAGGTTGTTCACACCAACCCTTCTTTTTGCCCATTTGATTATTTTTTTTTTCATAGGAACCCTGAATACATTCTCAACCAAGTTCCCTTTAATCGGGCAACCTGGGCAATTTCGAGGATACTAGTAGCTACACAGTTGGATGTAGTGGAAATAATCTCCTACTGTAAGAGGACCTCTCTGCCTAAAGTAGACACGTGCAATTCATTTCGGTCCGAATATGAATTCGGACGAATTTCGAGCAATTCGGACATTCGGGTACTTCCGAAGTGCCAAATTGCCGAGGTCCCGAAGTTCCGAAACTGCCGAAGTGTCAAAGTGCTGAAGTTCCGAAGCTCAGTATTGCCTAAGTACTAATATACTTACCCAGTGAAACAAGAGAAAGAAGAGAATGTTACATTGTATACAATTTTAAATAAAAAGTATACAAAAATAGCCAGGATTCAGCTGTAAGCATTTGCAACACTTACAACAACCAAGTAACATACATTCATATAAAATGTTAGTTACTTAGCCAGTCAGTGTAATGACAGGAATGAATAAGTAGATAACTCTCTAATTCCCACGGTATTAGGGAGCTATCTACTAAAAGGTTGAAAGACCCAAATTGGTCTTTCAGCCAAATTTACTAATACTAAGTAAAGATTACTTAGTATTAGTAAATTATGCCCCTACTCGCTATACCGCAAGTAGGGGCATGTATATTAAACAGTGAGCAGCCTGTGGCTGCTCACTGTAAATAAATAAGGTCCCCCTACCAAGCGTCAAACTAAAGGGGAGGACCTATTGCCCCCCCCCGGCCCCCACCCCTGAGCGGGTGGAGGCCCTAAATCAGAATAAGGGGGGGGCCTAATGTCCTCCCCCTGGTCCCCACCGCTGAGCGGCGGGTGGGGGCCCTAAATCAGAATAAGGGGGGGACCTAATGACCTCCCCCCTGGCCCCCACCCTTGAGCGGCGGGTGGGGGCCCTAAATTATAATAAGGGGGGGACCTAATGTCCTCCCCCCTGGCCCCCACCCCTGAGCGGTGGGTGGAGGCCCTAAATCAGAATAAGGGGGGGGGCTAATGTCCTCCCCCTGGCCTCCACCCCTAAATTGGAATAAGTCTCCAACCTAATGTCACTTTAGCACTATCTGTAGGAAAAGATCTGGGGTGTAGCGGAGAGGTAGTATAATCCACAGTATCTCCACTGGGTAACAGGAACAGCATAAAATAATCCAAGGAAATAAATACAGCATACAATAATCCCGGTAGCGTTATAAGAATCCTTCCTTCCCAAGAACTAGACGACACATAGGCTGGGAGTCAACTGACCTTTTAATCACAGGTCACTGTATTTATGGGATTCCCCATGCAAGAGGTTTCCCTACTGACATTTCAGGGGTGGTACAGTAGGGGACTACATGGGGAACTGACCAACACATACATTTCTCCCATCATGCACTGCTGTACGAGAGGGATACTCCCACTGGAATATACCATTAAGTGGATTATCCCTCCATACAGCAGAACTTACATTTTACATTAACATGCATAACTTTCTTGATATTCACTGTATTTAAACGAATCTACGTTCGGTAGATAGCTGGAGGCTGAGCGCACAGTTCGTGAGAATACCACTCAGCTCCCAGTCTAACTAACCG